GGGGGGGTGGGTGGACAGCCCCATCCGGGGCAGCAGCTTCTCAACCCCCTCCTGCTGCCCAGTTTCAGGACATCCCGGCCATGCTGGCCCATTTTGGGGCGCTGGCGGGGGCACGGGCAGCCCTGGCGCAACAGGCAGAAGCCAGGCAGGAGCAGCTGGCCCAGGGCTGGGCACGGCTCCGGCGTTACCGCGAGGAGGCCGGCAGCAAGCTCTTGTGCACCAAGGACGACCTGACCCGGCTCCGTGCACGCCTGGAGGCCACCCGCCATGATGTGCTTCAAGGGGTAAAGCGGGGGACAGATGTGGGGGTCCCCCTTCAGGGAGAGGGGCAGCAGTGTGGACCCCAAGCGTGCTGCAGAGGGGAGATGCCCAACATGGTGGTGGTGGGAAGCTGGGCTGGGGGTCCCCATGTGCCTGGAAAAAGCATCATCAGGAACTCTGCATGGGGGGGATACACAGCCAGGACTCCTAGGTCCCCCTCTCCCAGCCGGGGGGGGTGCAAGGGACATGGGGCAGCGGCTGGGGTGGGGGGGCCCAGGGCTCTCTGTCGCTCTGTCCCCCAGGAGTCCCACTGGGCCCACGTCCAGAGCACAGCCACCCAGAAGACCCTGCTGCTGGGGCAGATCAAGCTGGCAGTGCTGAACCTCTTCCAGCTCGCCACCGCACGGCTCGAGGTCCCCACGGACGTGGCCCTGGAGGACACCGAGGCCCAGCTGGACACGGTCAGTGCAGCCCTTTCCCCTGAGCAGAGGGGCTGGGAGGGACACGGGGACATTCATTCACGTCCCCAGACGGCCGTGGCACGGAGGTCCCTGTCTCCGCAGGTGCTGCTCTGCATGCAGGACCTGGCTGCCATCTCTGCTGAGCTGCGCCCCAGGCAGCCGGGGACGTGTCCCCCACGCTTGCCCGTTGCCACCAGCATAAACCGTCTGCGCCATGGGGGTGCCAAGGTGCCTCCGAGCCAGGAATAGCCCCTGGGGACAATCCCCCCAGCTCCCAGGGCTGGGGAGAGGCTGCCAGGGCCAGTGTGGAGATACAGGACCCCCGGCACCTCCCTGGGGATGGAGGTCGCTCCCCAATAAGTCTGGAAACCCCCATAACGAGAGGCGACACGCACGGCAGCGGCACGGGCTCACTGGGATGGCGCCGTGTTGGGGCAGAGCCTGCAAGGGGCACCCTAGGCAGCAGGAATCGGCTGCCGCTCACGTTCAGGCTGTTGGGTATCATTGCAGGTGTCTCCCGCCAAAATACAACCCAGCTGTGGACCCACAGCACCTGGCTGTCTTTGGACTGCGCCCGGGGGTGGCCCAAGGTGGGGGGAATTATCCCAAGCACGATCCTCTTGGCAAGGACAAAGAGGAGTCAGGATGCAAAACCAGCCACGTATTTAATGTCTCCTTCCCCGGCACCCAGCCCAGGCACGGGGGAAGCTGCTGGGGCACGGCCCCCTCTCTTACACCCTTTTCCGCAGCTTGCCCTTCTTGGCGGCCCCCACCCGTCGCCCGAAGGCCATCTGCCGCAGCTCCTGCACCCGCTGCCGGTTCCTGGCCTTCAGGCGTTTCAGCCCCCCGCTCTGCAGGAAGCGCTGCTTGGCCGCCTTCTTGCGCTGCTTCAGGATCTGCTGCTTGTTCTTCAGCTCCGAGCGTACCCTGCCCCGGGCGGGGGGCTGCGCAGGTCCTGCGGAGGGGGGGAACACAGCCAAGCTCGGCTCAGAGGCCAGAGCGAGGTGGCAGGGGGACGATGTGGGGGCTCCGCCGCTTGCTCCAGGTACTCACCGTGCCCGCGCCTGTGCTTCCCTCTGAACTGCTCCCTGCCTCCGTCTTCCCCGTCCTCGTCCCGCTCGTCTACCTTGTACTTCTGCTTCCACTTTTCATAGCTGGGCCAGGGTGGGTTAAGGGAACGTGCCGAGACTCCCCATTGCCCGACTCCCCGTTGCTCGACCCACCGGACTGTCTGGCCAGCCTCCCTCCTCAGGCCGCTGCCCTGGCACGGGATGGATCCCCAGAGGCAGGGCACAATGCCGTACAGCTGCCAGCGGGTCCAGCCCCGCTCTCCACCAGTGCCCACAGGCAGGATACAGGTTGTTCTTGTAGGAGCTGCTGATGTAGCGCCCACTCTCCGTCCGCACCTTCTTCTTGTCCTCCTGGCCCGTCTGCCCCACGAACCGCTTCTTCTTGCGGTCCCTGTGAGAGAGCGGAGAGTAGTGGGACGGGGTGGTGGGACCCCCAGCCCCCATTCCCACCCCCTCCCACCCATGGCCAGACCCCTCTCACCACTTCAGCAGTTGCTTGCTCTTGTTGAGGTTGTGGTTTTCATCCCCCATGAGATCCAGGACGGCTCCAGCTGCCTGCTGCTCGAAGGGGCTGCCCTCGCCGCCCACGCTTAGCCTGCAAAGGGTGGGCGATGAGAACGTTCCCCCCGCTGAGGCAGGCCATGGCAGGACTGCAGCGGGAGCCCTCCTGGACTCACCCCCTCTCGCTCTCAAAGTCCTTGGGCCGGTATGGGATGTAGAAGTCTTCATCCCGCTGCACCGGCTGCTGCGGCTTTTTCCTGGAACCATCTTCTCCCCCTCGGCCCCGTTTTCGCTTCTGGCCCACCACAGTAGAGAACACGTCCTGGAAGGGGATAGTGGATGGGTTGGAGGAGCCATGCCCCCCTACCAGTCCCTACACTGGCCCCCCGAGCCCTGGCACAGCCCCAGAGCCCTGCTGCTGCCAGCACCCAGCTGAGGCCACCTTGCAGCAGCTCCGGTGGCCACGGCAAACTCCTCATCCCTGCCGTGTTACCTGGAGGTTTTCCTCCTCTCCTTCTTCTCCTTCTCCCTCCTCGGGCCCAGGGGGGGCCGGGCACAACCCCTGCCCTTTGAGAGCCGCTGCCCGCTTCTCCTGCTGCCCGCGCTGGTACTTCTCGATGAGAGCGTGGTCGTGGCGCCGCTTCGACCGCATCACGGTGCTGGCCGGTGTCCGCGACGTGGCGTTGATCTCAAAGATGGTCTGCTCCCAGAGTGGGAGTGCAAGTCCCAGTGAGCTGCAAGGCTGGCCCCATGGAGCTTCTCTCCCACCCCAACGCAGGCGCCTCGTGCTCAAGGCTGGGTCTCAACTCACCGCCTTGGACTTGTAGGTTTTAATGCTGTCCACAAACTTCAGCCTCTCCAGCTCAGTGTCTTCGAAGTGAGCACCTGGGGAACGTGGGCACAGAGAGGGGCACAGATCAGCTCCTTGGCGAGGGGGACGGGGTCCCCTCCCTCAGCGTCCCCGAGCCACTCACTGAAGAGCGGGTGGATGCCCAGCTGGGACACGTCCAGGTCCTTCGCCCTCTTGATAGACTCAGGCGAGGGGCCAGGCCGCGACCGCAGGTACTGCTTGTGGGCGTTGTCAGCGACACGGCGCAGGCTCCGCAGCTCCAGCGAGCCCTCGTGGTCTGTCAGCAGCAGGCACTCCTCATCGTCCACCAGGCTCTGGGGGACACGGCCCAGGACCCCGCCGGCATCTGCAGCCCAGGGGACACCGCGTCACCTCGCTGGCACCCACCCTGGGATTATTGCAGCAGGCATGGCAGCAATCCAGGATTTAATGGAGCAGAGCTAACAGCCACAGGGAGCTCGGTGGTGTTAAATCAGCATCACCGACACACGGGGTGTGTCGGAGCCCCCAGCACCCCATTTTCCCCAGCTGCACCCCAGCAACGAGAGCGTATCACCCCTCTGCACGAATGCCAACCACAAGACCATGAACTCCAGCGCTGGCCAAGGATAAAACCACAGCAGCCACACGGCCAGCATCCCAGCCTGGACACGCAGCCACCCCGATGCCTGCAACCGGGTCTGGCTCACCAGCGGGCAGCTCCTGGGCACCGGCAAGGACAAGCGGGCGCCCCAGGAAGAGATGGAGGTCAAAGACGTAGGGCATCTCATCGGGAGCCACCAGCGAGTAGGCAGTGCCGCTCCGGCCAGCTCGGGCCACGCGACCTGGCAAGGGGAGGAGGAGAGTGGGAAACCAGACCCAGTGCCAACCCAGCCTGCCCCCACTCGGGCAGGGACCCACTGGTGCCCCTGGGAGCCCACGCATGTGACATTTACCCGGTGGGCATAGCTGGCAAGGGGCTGTGGGTCATTGTGGAAGGGGGCAAAGGGGAGCCCACCAGGGTGTCATCCTAAAGGGAAGACACCAGCTCTGCCTGCGGAAGCCCCTACAGTTCAGCTGGGAGATCAGGGACGTTCCTGACACTGTTTTGTCCCCAGCCTGTCTCCTGATGTCACAACACGCCAACCTCCTGCCCCAAAAATATCACCACCAAGTCAAGGGCAGCAGCGCCAGCCCAGCAGGACACAGAGACAGGAAAACCAGGGGACAAGGGACAGCCCACTCACACCCTCCCTGTCACCCTGAGGGACCCTCAGGTCGCCAGGATCCCTGCGCGGGGCACTGGCACCCACCGACACGATGCAGGAACAGCTTGGCCTTGGCAGGGAAGCTGAAGTTGATGACATTGTCCAGCATGGGGATGTCAAGGCCACGGGCGGCCACGTCGGTGACCAGCAGCACTGGGCACTTGCCCTGGGCGAACTTAGCGATGTTGATCTTGCGGGCGGTCTGGTCCAGCGAGCTGTAGATGTGTGTGCAACGGATGCCCTGGGCCGTCAGCAGCTGGGGAGGGAGGAAGAGAGATCAGATCCCACCTGGGCATGCACCAGCCGAGAGACAGGGCTGCCTAGTTCCCTGAGACTCCTGGATGCCCGCCCGGACCCCCAAATCCTGCTGTGCTCCCCCCTCTCTCCAAGGGGTAGGTGGATGCAGCACCTCCACGATGACGTGTGCTGGGATTTCTCCTTCGACCCAGCGAAACAGAGGCAGGAATTCCACCAGGGACGTGATCACAGATGCAGACCCCACGTGGGTCTGGAGAAGGGTCCGAGGCACCCGCCGGCAGCCTGCCCTTTAACAGGGGAACATGCCGGGCAACCCCAAATGCCACTTGCCTCCTTGAGATACTCTGTGTGGTGCTTGGTGGCCACAAAGATGACCGTCTGGTCCTGGGGCTTCACCACGTTCCGGAGCAGGTGGAGCAGCACGGCCGGTTTGTCATCCCCGCGCACGTGGAAGAAAGCCAGCTGCAAAAGGAGGGCAGAGCTCAGCCCCTCTGCATCCCCACACCAGATGCCACCGCCCCTCCTGTCCCCTCCTCACAAGCCTGGAGCCACCACAGGGTGGCTTGCAGGGGTTGGGGGGCACAAAGCCCATCTCAAGCCCGCCCCGCCACCGGCCCCTCTCACCTTGAGCTGCTCGCTGAGCTTGGACTCCACATCCAGACGGATCAGCATCGGCTCGGTGAGACCTGTGGGACATGGTGACACGCAGGATGTGGGTCGCACATGGGATGAGCCACTGGGACCAGTCCCACCTCTCGGCTTGGGGACACCCGCTTGGCCCAGCCTGGTTTTACCAGTCCTGGGCTCAGCCCTGCTGCGGGACCGTGCCGTGTCCCCGTCCCCGGGTTCCCCCCAGGTCCAGCCCCCGCCCCCGCCAACCACCATCTGCCCCACGCTCCTCACCGGCCCGGGCAAACTCGACGAGCAGCTTGGGCAGCGTGGCGGAGAAGAGGACGGTCTGGTGGCAGTCCGGGAGCCGGGCGATGATCTCCTGGAGCTGCTCGGCGAAGCCCATCTCGAAAAGCCTGCGGGAGAAGGGACACGGGACATGGCAGCGCCTGTTCGGTCCCTCCGGGCCCAGCCCTGCCACCCCCTCGGGGCACCTCGCTCCCCACTGTTGCTCACCCCACATGTGGGGACGCTGCCAGCCCCGGGGACCGCCCCCCCCGCACCCCGCTGACCTGTCGGCCTCGTCGAACACCACGTACTCCACGGTGTGCAGCTTCAGTTTCATCTCCACCGCCACGTGCACCAGGCGCCCGGGGGTGGCGATGATTCTGCAGGGACAGAGCTGCTGATGGGACCAGGCTGGTGGTGGTGGGG